TAAATTTATGTTTCATGGAAATAAACACATTAGTATTATACAAAGTTGCTAGTTAACTAAATAAACATAAAACTGTATTTTTATTTAAATAAATCTCCTCTAAATTCCTATGCTTCTCGTATTGCGGAGCTCTTGGGTACGTACATACCAACATGCCAGTGGGCACCTAAATTCATAGACTAAGCACAGGTCTTGCTGAGGTATTAATTTTGCTCAATGGCAACAAATTTTAAAATGTATTTATAAGTTAAAATAAGCAGACTTCTGGTTTAAGATGGTATATTAAAGTCAGACATGAAGACCTCCCTCCCCTTAAGATACAGACAGCAAACAGTTTAAAAAAAAAAAAAGGCAAATAAACTAGTACCAATAAACACAAAAAAAGGGTTAGTGGTCAGAGAAAAAGCCAGCTTGGTACAGCTCTACATAGCTCCTAACTCTCCAAAAAAACACTAAAGGAAATTTCACTAAAATTACCACCCCAAACAACATAGAGAGAAGCAGAAGGCCAGAAGATACAGACAGCCCTAAGAAAAAAAAATGCAGAAACAGCCAAAAGAACAGAAACTCCTCCCAACCAACAATGATTCAGAAAGGCAAAAAAAATCCCTGCACCTGGCCACGGTGGTTCGTCCCAGATGGGAAGGCAGCAGGAAAGGAAGCACAGAGGGATCACCGGTCACGAGAACTGACCATCTTGTGAGGGAGTAACAGGCTCTTAGTGACCCTGGATAGAGCTCCCTTCATGTCCTGTGGTCTTAACACAGGACCAAATAGCCTTTCACATGAGCTCTCCCTGTTCTGTTTTAGGGAAGTGGAAACACTGGTAGAGAATCACTGTGCTGACTCTCCTAAATGGATGCTAAGGCTCTAGGGACTCGTCTAAAGCAGGAGAGACGAACCAGAAAAGAGTACAATCAGGAGACAAAAACTCCACTAGGTAAGAGAAGGCAAAACCCAAGCAAGCCAGCCAAGGCAGCCAGAGCCCAGCCAAGTTCTCCTCCTCACACCTGTGTCCTCGGGCCAGCAAACCCAGCACTCAAACTCTAGCTGAGGGCAGCAGCCACATGCCTCAGACGTGAGAAGGCAGCCAAGGAGGATTCACTCACACTAAGGCAGCAGAAAGAGAAGGTCTGCACAGAGCTGCCACTGTAAGCACAAGAAAAATGGATAAGGAAAAAGGGAAATGCATCTATGCAAAACTATAGCAAAAAAAAAAAAAATAAGAAAGAAACATAGTATATAATAACACAGGTGAAGAATCTACTCTAAAAGAAATATAATCCACCAAAATAAAAGCATTCCTGGGACTGTTTCACCCTATAGAAGAATCTAAAGATAAGTCAAAAAACATGAAGGTACACCTGTAATCTCAGCACTTTGGGAGGACGAGGTAGGAGGATTGCTTGAGGCTAGGAGTTTGAGACCAGCCTGGGCAACACAGCAAACTCCCATCTCTACAAAAAAAATTTTAAAAATTAGCTGGGCACGGTGGCACATACCTGTAAGCTGTGATCACACCGCTGCACTCCAGCCCAAGCAACAGAGCAAGACTGCCCCCGCCCCGCAAAAAACCCTGAAGGTAAGACAACAGTAGATAAAAATGGAGCAATGGAGCTGGCAGAGATAAGGAAATACAGATCGAAGCCTTTGCTGATGCCTGATCTACAGTAGCCTATTACCTGGTGTCATTATTTAGCATCTCTATTGCAATGTTTCATTGTCTGTCTGCCCTCCACTACAAGGTAAGCTCTACGGGAGAAGTTATCTTGTCCGTCTAGCCCCTAACTGTACTCCCCTCCTATATCCCCAGTGCCCAAAACAGTTCTGACATATGGTGAATTCTTAAAAATACTTGCTGAATGAATAAAGAAAATAAAAAGATGAACTATTAAAGCAGTAAGAAAACAGTAGATGAGAACAGACAAAAATGATAGAACATAGACATAACTGGAACCTCAGAATTAGGTCAAAAAACAGAACATAAATAAATTTAAAGATTTAACAGAAAACAATTATCTTGATTGCAAGCAAAACTGTGAGTCTGCAGGTCAGAAGGGCACATGCGTTCCAGAAAACTCACTATGGAAAGATAAAGACAGACATATCCTGGTTATGATATTTTAAAATTTTAAGAACTAAAAAAAATTCTTTAGGGAGAAAAATGATTCACTTATTTACACGGAGGTTAAGTAAGACCGGCCTCAGATTTCTCTAAAACATTCAATATAAGAACATGATGGAGTAACTTCTTCCAAAAAGACAGAAACTGTGCCCCAAGAATATTAAATATTAACCCAGCCAAGTCGTCATTCAAGAATAGTCAACAGGATCATATTCTTTTTTTTTTTTTTTTTTGAGACAGAGTCTCACTGTGTTGCCCGGGCTAGAGTGCCGTGACGTCAGCCTAGCTCACAGCAACCTAAGACTCCTGGGCTCAAGCGATCCTCCTGCCTCAGCCTCCCGAGTAGCTAGGACTACAGGCATGTGCCACCATGCCCGGCTAATTTTTTCTATATATATTTTTAGCTGTCCAATTAATTTCTTTCTATTTTTAGTAGAGACGGGGGTCTCGCTCTTGCTCAGGCTGGTCTCGAACTCCTGAGCTCAAACGATCCGCCCACCTCGGCCTCCCAGAGAGCTAGGATTACAGGCGTGAGCCACCGCGCCCGGCCAACAGGCTCATATTCTTAAACACGGAAGAGTCAAAGGAAAATAACACCATGTTCTTTTGGAAAATATCACCCAACAATGCAATGTAGCCAACTAAGAGGTAAAAGAAGTTTCAATAAAAGGACTGGTGGTAGGTCAGTGTATTTAAAAAATAGATCAAAGACTGGACAGCCAGTAAGGAATATCATTTCAAAGATAATTTGTTATAAAACTTGACAACACAAAAATAACACTGGAACACAGAAGATAGGAAGAAATATAAAAATGTTTATTTTCTTCCCTTTCTAAACAGAATCTATCAAGTCAACTAAAAGGTTTAAGTATAATTACTTAATGTTATAAAGAAAACCATTCGAACAACTAAAGTAAGACTATAACACATAAAAATCCAGGGGTAGAAGCAGGGAGAAATGGGAGAAAGCATATGAATGTTAACTTTCTCATCTTTCATAGCAGGAAATCCATAAATATCGAATAAATTTCCTAACTCACATAAGAGGGTTATGGTATAAACAGGTAAAATAATAAAGATTAACTACTAGAACTGAAAACAGACAATAAAGCTTCCAAATCCCAAGAAGGAAAGTGTGAATGTATGAGCACACACAAAGAATAAGAGAACTTATATAGCAAAATAGGAACAGTAAAATACTAAAAATTGGGGGGGAAATGTAATTAAGGTCAAAACGTATCTTATATCAATAAATGTTAAGTGGAATAAACTATTAAAAAACAAGACTCACAGTTTGGGTCAAGTGTATTTCTAAAGATGGCAGCCACAGTATCTCCTATGCCACACACTCTTCCAGAACCTTCTTACTTCCCCATCAAGAGGTAGAGCCTAATTAAATTCCCATTACCTTGAATGTGAGTGGGTGGCAAAAGTGATGTGTGATCTCTTAGGCTAAGTTGTAAAAAACAATTTAGTTTTTAAGCTAGAACACCCCGAGCGGAGTCCTGGGCCTCCATGTAAGCATTCACGCTGCCAGAAGGCCACCACGTGAGGAAGCCCAAACTAAGCCACATGGAGAGACATGTGGAGAGGCCATGGGACCTCATGAACAGGAGATGTCTGGCAGCCTCCAACCACTCCAACCACTGTCTGACTGCAACTACTGAAGACCCCAAGCCAGAATCTCCCAGCAGAGCCCTTCCCAAGATCCTGACCCACAGAAATAGTGAAATAATAAAATTACTGTAGTTCTAAGCCACTGAGTTTTGGGGTGATGTTAAGCAACAGTAGGTAAACAAAACAGATTACCAACCACTATTTTCAGAAAAGACCACTCTATTATAGACACACTGGTGAAATGGGGTCTTTTTATAGGATCTGCTCTCTGGTAGTTAGAGAAAAATGGAATTGGGAAACAGAGCCTGGGAAACACACAATGAAGCTGCCTATTCAAGATAGGTCCCTAGTGTGAAGAGCACAGATGGTTTATTACGATTACCACCAGACATCCCAGTGGATTATTCAAAAGTTCTACAATGACACTCACCAGCCACTTTACTCGGAAGGAGAAGAGGGCACTAAAGGCAAATATCACCCACAGCACTGGACAGGCGATAAGTCCTAACCAAAAGATTCTTGATTCGGCCTCTGAAACAGTTTTATTCTCTTGAGGGGATGCCTACAAAAGAACATAAATTCAATCATCACTGTTGTGAGATTTATCAGTACAAAGTTTAACATTTTTAATAAAAAACACATTACCCTCAAATTCAAATATTAATACAGATAACCCAAGTCCTAAGTTATAAATCAGTTAATGACTCTACCACTGTTGTAATTTTAGGAAATGATTTTAGTATACTTTAAGTCAAGAATTTTGCATTTTTAGGGCAGAATGGACAGTTTATCATGACCTAAGACAGTAAATAGTGGTCTCTGATAGGCTTCTACTCAACTCTTCTTGCATTTGTACTATTTATACACAAGGAAACTTTGAATAATATCTTTTGCATGAGGATCAAGGAAATCAAGGTTATAGTCATCCTGGAAACTAAAAGGTGAAGTCAGAGTCCACAGAAAGAAATGGAATGAAAGGATTCTGGACATGACCAAAATGTCTTAGCAACAGCCACGAATTTACAAAGGTGGTGAGTTGTTTCCAAAGTAGATTTTATGATATAGAGGAATACAGGCTCACTGAGCACAGTGCTGCTTTCTGAGAAGTATTACTTATCAAGGCCCTTCCAAGCAGAAGGCAAGCAATTTAACTGCTACTGTCCCCCAAAATTTTGTGCTCTGCCTCCCAAACTGATTTCCACCGGCAAACAGAATATTCACTGTGGAGTAGCAGGCTAATCAAAAACAGACAGGGTCCCCTCCAAGCCTCCTGAAGGCACAGGCTTAAAGAATAGACTGCTCTGATCAATTCAGATTTTCTATGCAGTTGCAATCCTTATCCTCCTTTTTCCTGCCCAGAAGTGGAAGATGACCATGGGAGCAGAGAGGGAACAAGATATTGGAAGCAGTTATCCACTGGACATAGAGGGATCCACGCAGACACCTGGCAAGGCAACAAAGCTGGGGCCTACAGGAGGAGATCTTTTATCAGCAACCCCTGCAGTTTATACTGCATAAACTCTGACCCAGTGTCCTCTCTCAGAGGATTCTGTCCTGTACATGCCTCATTTCTGGTCTGAACTAGACAGAAAAATCTATTTAGCTTTAAAAGGACATCTGGTTTAGTACTAACAAGCCAAGTGATTTGGTATAGTAATTTTAATCTTGAATACTTCTTCCTTAAATATTCAAATGTAATCTACACATAATTTAGCAAATGACACCATTTAAAAAAAAAAAAAAAAGGCAGCTTACCTTCCTGGACTCAAACACCCAATGGCTCTTTCCATCTTCATCAATATGATTCCACCAACGTAGGCCAACCATCAGTCTACCTGTGACATTCTAGTAAAGATTAATATAAACACGACATTATTTAAAGGTCTACTATAAGCTCAAATCTTAGTGTAACATTTCACAATCAAAACTCTTCAGCTTTACCTCCATAATATCCAGTTAACGAAGACCACTATCTATCAGGCCTGGCCACAAGACTGAATAAAATGGCAATGGCAGGACCCATAAGGGTGGAGGTGACAGGGTAAGCAACAAGTCCATCCATAAACATTACCTCCCCACTTTTCCCTCATGAATACTTGTCCTTTCTCCAATTTCCTAATTTCTTCCTAAGCCCCTTGCTCTTTGGCTGCTGTGACCTATCTTATATCCTGACTGTAGCTACATATATTTTACAAGTATATATCCCTAAAAATGGATATAGGCACTGGCCTTTCTTCAAGTCCCTCAAATGTACTCAGCTTTTTTCCAGCTTACTAATGTAACACATTACTTTGATAGCTTTCCTAATGTTTATTTACTCAACAAATATTTACTGAGCACCTACTATGTGCTGGTAATAAAATGGTGACTAACAGATACCACCCTTGTCTTCAGGGAGCTGTAAGTGTTGTGGGTAAGAAAGGCAGACAATGTTTGCACAAATGCACCATTACCAACTGTGGTAAGTGTTAGGAGGAAAATGTGTGGGATGCTTGAAGAGTACAACAGGGAAATTTGATCTAGTCTGGGTATCAGAGAACGACTCCCTGAGGAATCAACCTTCAGAATGAAATAAAAAGGATAAGTACGAATCACTAATACATGGGATATTTAATTAGTGATGTCCACTAATAGATTCGGGGGTTCTGATTCAGGGGAAAAAATTTATCTTTATTTTCATTAAAATTTAACGTATTT